AAAAATATCAAAAACATAACTTTAAATTTTCTATTTGTCTTTATTTGCATATTTATATAATACAACAAATCTTATGTGATTTTATTTCAGACTTATAATAGTTTTTGTTTTTTAGTTTTTATATACAGTATACAGTATATATAACTATATATTTAACAATTAACCAATCAGAATTGATGCACACTATGCTGTAATTAGCTAATAATAAGTTTGGTAATGTGATCTCAAATAGGTATGTCATTTTTCTTAATATTATTGTTACAAAATTTATGAAATTGATACATCTGCACTTACATTATTGATACATTTAGATGTATCCCAAAATTTTATTACTTTGTTAATAATAAAACATGTGATAATTACATGTTATATGTAATACATTTGTTAATATATAACTAGTATAATAGGTAATTATATTGAATATCTGATATCTACTTATATATATATATATACTATACTATATTAATTAAAATACTTCTATTTTATTGTATTTCTATGTAAAATACCTAGATATTTTATATAGCATAAATTTTTTTACTATATATAATACTTGAGTATTTTATAAATTTTAAATAATAACTAACAACTCTTAAACTTCTAATTAAACTTTTTTCTTACAACTTTTTGTTCTAAAAATAATACAAATTTATTCATACTTAATCTTTCGATATAACAAACTTTTATATTTTAATAAAATTATCTTTATTTATATTCTTTTTAAATTTCTTCAATTTATACTTAATTAAACTCTTTTACTTTTAAGTAAACTAAGTATACTAAACTTTCTACTTCTAACTATACTAATTATACCAAATTCTAATTATTATATTATATACTAATTGACTTCTAGAGTCAATAGCATAGCAGTTATGCTCTGAGGTTACAAATCGCAAAGTTGCTAATTCAAATCCTAGTAACAGCAATTGTAAAGATGTATTTCTAAAATAGAGAACTGCAACACTGTGGCACTAGGGACCCAGAACATCATCAGACAGACTTATTTCTAGAAAAGGCAAGTGACCTGTGATTAAGAAGCCACCTGGTGATAAACACGAGTTAGAACCTGATTTGGAATAATCAAAGTCATAAAACATAATGTGAGGCCAAAAGTCTAACAATGAGAGATACTATATGAACTTATAGCAATAGCTGGTTCTTAATAGAGCTTGGCAAAGACTTTTGATACTGGCAAGAATCAGTGTGACAGTCACTTTTAGAAAGTTTAAAAGTACAGACTGGGGGAGATCAAGGTTCAGATCCAGGAATATATTAAGAACATTAGTTCAAAAAATGTGAGGACTGCTGAAAGATCTTGGCAAGACTAGTCAAAGAGTAAAAAAAAAATATATATATATTATGTACCAATTAACATTTTTTAAAAAAAAACACTTTCACAATTTCTATTAAATTTTACTAAACAACCTTATTCTCTTTCATTAAACAAAATTATTCAGCTCATTAAAACAATCATTTCAACATAAATTTCATCTTTAACAGACCAAAACTCATTAAGTTATTGATATTTCTCTTCAAATTTTTATCTAAACTCCTTTCTAAAATTCTATTGATCAATTTCAGAAAATTTACAAGCATGCCCTGGAAATTTCACTTTTTACCAATTTTGAAAATATCCAAATACTCAATATTTCTTCAAATTCCTTCAAAAGAACTTAGAAAATTTACTGGCTCTAGGAAAATTTACTGCTAATTTTGAAAAACTCAATTTTTTCACTCAATTCTTTTCTTTTTACCTGCTCTTTTTTGCTACCTATATTATAAAACACTTTATTAATACTATAAACTACTTAAAAAACCTTTTCTATATCTTTGTTCCAAGCTATTTACAACTTTAAACATTGTTTTATTATTATCGCTTATAATTCTAAAATAAATCTACAAACTACAATCCAAAAAGATCACTTTTTAGACTGGTTCAAAAGCTATTCTATCTTAGAAAACTCTTCTTTATCTATACTTATGATATCTGAAATTCAAACATTAGATTTCTTAAAACCAATTTTTAAAGATTTCTATTCTGGTTCAATTATTAATTTTATAACAATTAATAAACTAGCTGTAAAAAGTAATTTTAGCTTATTAATTCAAACTATAGTAACTAAAAAACCTAAATTCATTATAGACACAATCCTAAACAAAAATTTACATATTATCGAAGTAACCAAAATATCTTTCAAAATTCTTCTTAGTATAACAAAAAATTGGCTTATCAAATTTACTTATACTCTCTTTCATAAAACAAATTACAAACAACTCTTTAATTCACATTATTTTATCTTTCTTTACTCAATTAAAAAATAATTTCAAATTGCTATAAATCTTGCCAGATTTTATCCATTTCTACATAACAAATACCAAACTATTGATTATCAAAAATTCTTTTATGACTTACAACTTAAACTCTTCTACTTAAAAACTTATATATATATAAACCATATTTCAAATACTTCAAAAAGCAATACTTCTATTTTACAAATTTATAATACTTTTAAATTCTATATCAATATTACTATAAATATCTTTCTCCAAGAATTTAATACAAACTACTATATTCCATCTTTTTACTTAATCAAATCACAATTTGACATCTGGTTTCAAAAATTTTTTACATATTACAAAAAACAATTTAGTAACATTAATGAACAAAAAGTCTACAATTATATTAAATACCAAATAATAACAGCAACTAATAATAAATACAAAAAGCTTATCATTCAAAAACCTAAACTACCAACCATCTGATCTATTTAAGATCAAACAAACTATGCTACCAAAACAGCAATATACCATATATACACCTGCATCAATCTTGAAAAATGTAAAATTCTTAATCCAAAAACAACTCATAATATCTACAATCTAACTTCTTACTACTTTAAACAATCCTTTAACACTATACCTATTCAACAATATATATATTCATTTTTAAACCTTTCTACTTTTACTTCAGTAACATTCTATATACACTTATCTTTTAAAGAATTTTATAAACTAGCTGACCAATCTGAACAAACTTTTATCTAACTAAACAATATATTTACTAATTCTAAACATATATTTTATTTCTTTTATTGCTATCTTAAAGTTTACTTTAAAGCTGCAGCAACAAACAATGAAATTATTAATCTCAACTTCAACAAAGCATTAAACAAAATCTTTTCACAAACAAGCAATCTACAAATTCTAGCCAAAATCATTGACTATTATAATATTACTCAAATCTCTAAACCAACTATTACTCAACTTAAAAAAAATTTTAACAAGTTATACTTCAATTAAGCAAATAAATATATTATCAAAAAACTCAATATTGTTATACTTATAGTATCAGAAACTAACTTTATCTATACTTTTAATGTATCTAAAATTATCGATGAACTCGATAATAGCCTTTTTTTCTAGTAATATTTATATATTTCTGTTAACTTTTCTTTATTTATTTATTTATTTAATCTATATTATTTATCTTAGCTACACTTTTACAATTCTGTTAACTTTCATTATCTATTTGCTTATTCAATCGATACTACTTTTTATTTATTTTTTTTAACTATACTTTATTTCTTATTTAATTTATCATACATTTGTTTTTTTTTCTTTATAATGATGTAATTAACTTCTGATAGTATAAATAATTAGTAAAATCTATGAATAGCTTACTAGTATATACTAGAGTAATGAACATTATTTAGAAAATTTTAACTAATCTAGGTGAGCCTTAGCTATTCTAGTAGGTTTAAGCTGCAAATAAAGATGTCTGAGCTCTTACTCTTGCATGTAGCATTTATATTACTTAGAGTTATAGTTTTATAGTTAGCAGTTTAATGGTTAGTCTTGACTGTAAGTGTTGGTTTTAGCCATAGCATATATAGAACTTTTTTTTGTATTCAGTAACTCTATGTAGTTACTACCTAATGATTACAAATAAAGATAGAAGCAAGGCTTCACCTTAATATTAAAAAAAAAAAATTTTGAATAATGAATTATGTTTAAGATCTGAATATTTTATATAAGATACTTTGATTATACAAAATTATGCTTAGAATTAAAAGTTTGTGATTTGTAGCATTAATCAGAATTGTATGCTTGATATTCTTTATTTTTTTAAAAAAAAAAGATTTTTAATGCTATTATAGTTGAGATAGTAATATAAGTAGCATATATGTATTCACTTTTACATAATACATATATTGTTTTCTATGCAATAGTAAATGTTTTTGTTTTTTTTTTATTATACAATATCAAGTAGAAAAATTATTAATACATGAGTATATCAATTGGATATAAATATATAAATAGAAATTATTTCTAAAACTACACTATTGTTGCTATATATTAACAACATTTAGTGTGATATTATTTTTTAGTTATCTGTATTAGTTAAATCAACTATTGTAATCATTAACTACAGAGAAGAGTAAAAGAAACCTTTAATAGTAAATGTTTAACTAATATTAATGTTCAATTTTATTAAAAGAAAAAACATATTTTATATTTGAAACATTTAATATAAATATTGATGAAGTTTGTAATCTTATTATATTTAAGATAATTAATATGTTTATTAAAAATAGACTTTTCAAACTACAGCTTTACTAAAATTTATTATTCGAACTTGAGCTGATAAATCTAAATCTTATAGCATTATACTAAGTAATAAATATAATAAAAAATTAATACATATAAACTAATTAGAATTTTGCAAGTACTAGACAGAGTGTTATAAAGATATAATGTGATGCTTAGCATATGCAGAACTCTAGGACTAATATTTTGGATAAATGCTACTAGAAGAAAATAAGATATTGGGCATTTAGGCTTATCATTTATTATTTACAAGATTAAAAAAACATGATCATGTATTATATATATTACTATTAGTTTTTAAAAACTGAATTTGGTAAATAATAAATAGTAAATCTAAAAGTCTGATGGCTTACTTTCTCTTAAATAAAAATTATTTACCAATATTTATTAAATGTCTATTGTCCAAATGTATTGTAATAACTGATTCCAATATTGAATAGTATTGGCATTCTCATTTCTCTATAATAATCAATATACACAAAAGGGCCTTCATATGTATTATTATCTTTATTATCATAATTGACTGCTTTATTATCTTTATTGTCTTCTTTATTATTTTCTTCACTGTCTTCTTCTTTACTATTTTCCTCTCCACTATTTTCCTTTTCACTGTCTTTTTCTTCATTGTTTTTACTATTTTTTTTACCATCTATTTCTTTATTATCACTAGCTGTTTCAGCTTGATTTTTAATTCCTTTTTCTGGATTTATTTAATTATCAATTCAAGAGAAGTCAATGATTAAATTATCTTCAGTTTTATTTATCACATTCAAAATTTCACAATATTTAAATGTTTTTCTAATCAAATTGAGGTCAACAGATTTCTAAACTTCACTAATCTAACTTGCAACTAAACTATAAAATGAATGTTTTATTTTATGCGAATATGTAAATTTCTTGATACCCTCATCAAACTATTAGTTATATAAATAATAAAACTATTTATATTAGAAAAAAAAAATTAAGTAAAAATTAAAGATGCAGATATTAGAACATAAAATAACATACTGTATAGCTGTATATAAGTAGCTATCTAATTTTTATATACTGCAAGAAAATACTATTCTTAATCTAAAAAATGTCTGCATCTCAAATAAAATTAAAAATATTATAATAAATTAAAAATTACCTTTGATTTAAATGACTTGTTTATAGAAACATTAAGGAGTTGTAGGCAAAATATTAAATTACAGAGAATTATTGCAAGGTCAGTATTTTTTCTTGAAAACATTATTTTACATAATTTATTGTATGACTAGCAAATATATCTATAATAAAAAGTAAATATAGATTATTATCATGTTGTGCTCATTGAGTCTAAATGTTCTCTATCCACTATACTATTTCATCTTTATTTATCTATTCTGAAGAGTTCACATATACAATAACATTATCAGGAAATTTATTATGAGGTACTTTGACTAGTTTAAAAATAATTAAAGACAGAAGCTTTGTACTATTAGCTAAACAAGCTAAAGCAACAGTAAATATTGAATGTTCATGCCCAGTTAATATAATTAATATAGTTTTGGGTTTTTTTTTTCAATTGTAGTAGCATTTGTTATATTAAAATATATAGCAGTTTCATCTATATTGCAAATTAAAAATAAAAGATAATTATAATTATAATGTTTGTAAAGTATAAGAGATAAAAATTTGTTTTATTTTTTATTATAAGTTTTTGTAAGATGTTGAACAGTAGTTGTACATCTATGGTTAACCAAATTATGTTGTGACATAAATCTGTCTACTCATTTTTGAGAAAATTTATAATTTTTAATCCTGTAAAACTGGCTTTAGTAGTAAGAAATGATAGCAAAAGAATGAGCTTTTGCTTAAATCATATAACAACTGACAGTCTTTGCTAAGATCAGGCCTTGTAAAACTATTCAAATAACTTGACTTCAAGCTCAAGATACTTAGGTTTAGCACTAGATACTAACTTTTGAACATATGAAGCAACTTTCATAAGCTTTGGTTTTTTACTAATCCATTCTTTAAGTTGCTTTAGTTCTATTTTAAATTTATTAGCTATTGAATGTTTGCTATGCTTTTGTTTATAGTAAGTTATGATTATTAATTTTTTACATGCTAACTACTGTCACTTTTTCTTTTTTGTCACTTGAGTATGATGAGCTTTAAAATTTCTACAGATTATTTTGATTCTTAGTATAGTAAAAATCCTTGGTGCCTATGATTAAACTTATAACAAATTTTTTTTTTTAATAGATTAGTTTTTATTTAAGTTTTTTTTTAAAAAAAATTATTCTGCTTACAAATCTTATTTGTAATGCAATTATCTTTATACAGGTTATTTTTGACAATTACTCTTAATATAGTGAAGAGTAAAAATCTTAATAGCAATAAGATCTAAGCACTTTTGAAATCTTCCTAATTTTTAAAATACAACTGATTAGAAATCTAACTATTAATAAACCTAAAAATTATGCTTTTATTGCATATGAAATTAATTTGAATATCTCAAAGTACTGATTACAAAATAGATAACATAAACTAAGTTTGGTTTTATATGATTAACTTTTTATAATAACAAAATATATATTATAAGCAGTCTAATAAATTTTTCTAAGTTTCAAAAGTTTAAGTACTACTGTTATTTTTTTTTTTTTTTGGTGTTAAGGTGAGGCCTTGCTCATATCTTTATTAGTAATTTTAGTTATACATATTAATATA